GATAGATAGATAGATAGATAGATAGATAGATAGATAGATAGATAGATAGATAGATAGATAGATAGATAGATAGAATTTATGATTTCCAGATCATTGCATTCGTTTTTTTTTAGAAGCGTAACATTTCAGAAACAGAGATGTGATTGTAAATTCCTCTACCCTGAAAATATGCAGGAACAGGACAAAGCTCACACTGTTGTCCTTTTTACCATCAGAACAGAAGCAGAACCACAGCTTTGGGCTGTGATGGAAAACCCAAAGTTTGCAGACTGATGGTCATGTTGTTCTTTGTTGGTTCAYTTTATTCAAATGGTTYTTTTGTGTTTTTCAAAATAAAAGGTGAAATTTTACCTGGAAGTCATTATAGGTATCATGCTCTGGTTCACTTCCTCATTGCAAACGGGTTTTATTGGAAAAACTGTGGTCTATTTAAAYCTACAACAAAAATGAAAACAGTGCTTTTATTCCTCATAAAGTTGTGCAAATATTATGGTTTCATCCAGTGTCTCAGTATAATATYTTATAACAGACCAGAAAGATTATTTAATCATGTTATTATGAGTTCAAAACTGTTAAAAAAGGTAATTCACTTTGACAAACCTATAAACCACCAACGATGAGAGGACTGCCTTAGTTTAACATCAAATGGGAATAAAACATGAAGCTTTAATGTTTTTTTTTTACTCCATCTGGGAAAAACAAAATGTCTTTTCCAGACCTTCTTTTTTGCACACGCCTGATGCATCATAATGTAAACTACTTCTGCTTCACATTCAGGAAGTTTATTCTCAAAACAGCAGAGATCCAGGAACCARGTTTGAGTGAAATGAGGTGTTTTATCCCCCTTTCCCCCTCAAAACGTACCTGGCATGTTTGTGAATTTTTAAAAAAATGAGGARGCATTACCAGTCAGGGAGTAGAGACCAGCAGGAACGCAGTGTTTTCACACTTCAGTGGCAAAGAGCAAAGTCAGAGGTTTGAGTTTAGGGAGTCTACAGGCATGCAACATGCAAGCAGCCCACACACACAATTAGCAATTACTCTGCTCAGATTCTCTCCTGTGGACAGAAAAGTGTGGGACATTTCTTCTGCATTCCTGATTTACTGGAGATCCACATCTCCAGTTTAGGAAGATAAAAAGTCCAGCTCTTTGAGAATTTGGATAAATTAAGGAAACACGAAAAAGATTCACAAAATAAATGAAAACACTTGAAGGAATGCATATTCAGAAAGTTTAATTTCTGAAAATGTTAACGAATCCTCGTYAGATTCTGTGGACAGATTTGTCTTCCTGTTCTGGTAAAACTCATTCGAGGCGGGGTCGAGGTTTTTCAGGAGGTACGACCTCGGCCGTTCCACATATTTAGAATACAGAGAAAAGAACAGGTTGTTCAGGAGGAACAGACTTTGAATCTAGGGTAACTTTTTCCACAAACAAATGTAGGTCTGTAACAACTCCACTGTCCCAATCAGAGCAGCTCTGCCATGCTTTTCACCTTTTTTATTTGTTTATTTTTAAGTATTGTAGTATATCCAACAAGCTTTTTCATTTCTGGTGGCAATAAGATAGTGTATGTTTATTTGGGATGTGTGAAAAGTCTTGTTGTATTTAGATTTATCTGTGAGCAGGAGGTTGGATTGAGCTGGTTTTAGTCAGTCAATCCATGCAGCCTCAGTTTTAACACCGAGGCCCCATGGGCCAGTTTAACCCAAGGCAGCACGAGCATCCACTGAGAAATTGAAAAAAAAAAAAAAAAAAAGTATGCTTGTGTTTATTTGTGTGAGTGAAAGCTAACTCAAGTGCAAAAGCAAAACAGTGGAAGACTTCAAAATAAAAGCATTCAAATTTCCATGTGTTTGTACCTGGCTGGGGAACCGATGAAAATCAACACATCTGCCCTAATTTTTAAGAGCTACTATTTTATTTGCTGCATTTTAAAAGATGTATATAATCTGTTTATACATTTTTATATGTATAAAAACTTACAAAAAAACCACACACACAAATTACTTCACCCTTTTGCCATAATATAGAATTATTTAATCATAACACATTATTTTATTATTTGTAAATAGTGTGGCTATTAGGATAAATAAAATCCCCTTTCATAAGTACAAAATAGACTTTAGATAATTGTACCTAAAAACACATACAATCTACAAGATATTCACAACATATACAATATAAGTCTAATAAAAACATGGGCAGATTATGAGTAAAAACAGAGTTTGTAACAAGGATAAATATGGAACAATTATTATGGTATGTACTTTTAGTACTGATCCTTGAATCTGAAGCAGGCACAGATAAGCTTATTAAACATTGCATGTGTTTTGCTATAGTGATTTGGATAGTATTAATTGCTAGTTAGTTAATTAGTTAATTATTAGTTCCTATTATAATTAATAACACTCTCCTCAATAAAACAAAAGTTCACAATACAAATGGCATTTCAACTTTAAAGATTAGTGTTAATGCCACTGCAGGGACAGTTTAGGTATAAAAATGACTAACTAAAAAAAGAGTAATGCATGTTTTAGAAGAATCCATTCAGAAGAATTTTTTTAATCTTTTTGTATTACTGTAACACTTTTTTTTGCACATTATGTAAAATTTTAACAGCTTTCCTAACTGTGTGACAAATTGTACAACATAATAGAAAATCCCAATAAATTTACCATCAAAATGCAATTAAATTACAACTTCAGAATGTCACGCCAGTGTCTAGGTTTTATTTTGAAAATAAAAACCGGATGCAGTCATTAGCTGCTATATCTAGCTTACTTCCGCTCTCTTAAAAAACACAGATTCGCGTCCCAAACTAGTCCAGGTCACAAACATGTCTTCCGTGGAAGGTGCAGAAGTCGGAGTGTTATACTMTTAATTTGTGGTTTTATCACCGAAGACGGTGATAATTTGACGTTTTTGTGGATGAAATTATTTTAAAAAGAAGAAAAAAAAAAAGGCAGCGTCGCGTGCATATTTTCCTTTTAAGAACGAAGAAACTGGAACACCTCGCTGTAATCATGGTAAGCTTTAGCTACTTTTTGTAACTAAATAAACACTAAGAGTTTAACATGATCAGTAAATGAAGTTTCTCGAGCTACAAAGTTTTAAATGTAATTACCCGTGGACAGGTGTGAGGAGGATAAATCCTCATTTCACGCTATTAGAAGGGAATTAAACGAGGTCTGTTTAGTTTCACAACATTTCAGTGACACCCGAAGCGTCCTACATTGTTATTTATATGTTAAATTACAGAACTTCCCATATTTAAATCATTTGTTTCAGTCGACATGACAGGTTGGGTGGATTCAGACATAAAATAGTTCCTGCAGAACTCTCATTTCCTGCTCAGACTTCAACTTCGCTCCAGATCCTAAATCATCCATTTCCTTATCGTGGATTTTCTAGCATCTTCTTATAAACAAATCTTATTGGTCTTATCRCATCGCTCCCCAGAAGCAACAGGGCCTGGGTAATTTCTTCTGAGACACACACTCTCTGCTAGATGGCTTGTAAATCAGTTTTATCCCCAGGTGTTTGATGGAATATATATGTATTTTTAAGTCTGCTGCTGGAAATTATAAATAAAAGTCACAATGACCTAAAAAAAAAAAAACAGGTTTTGTTTCAGATACAGTAAATGAGCTGCTGGACTTGATGGAGCTAAAACCCATTCAGACTCTGCTGGTATAAATTGTTAGAAATGCACATCACCTGCTGTCTGAGTTGTAATCTGAGATAATCTCAATAATGACAAGGTGAGAAATTATAATTTAGAGCAGGGGTTACATAAAGTAAGAGCCAATTTCTGTTATTATGTATTGAAATGTTATATAACTAATTATTATTATAGTTATACAAATGACCTTTTCTAAATCATAACCAAACAGATAAAGAAAACATATTACACATCTACACAACAATTTTTTTTGTTATTTCTTAGCTACATTAGAGCGCAATCTAGCATATCAATTAAAAAAAACCTTCACTAAAAATTCATTTATGGGATTTTAAAATAAGAATAAAATACAGAAAAAAYATTAAAGTTGATTTTCTGTTGTTCTTTCCACACCCAAAATCAAAGATTACTGGAAAAAAATATAAAGTTTTACTTATGGGGCCTGATAAAATGTTAACAAGGACCAGATTTGGCCTGCGGGCCTTGAGTTGGACACATGGTTTAATGCAAACCTTGTAAAAAAAAAAGTGTTTTAAAAATATCTTGTGACGTGTCAGCTCTTGAAGTGTGCATTGAGTAAGACTCCTTCACTTTCACGTCAGTTTTCAGCTCAAACATCTGTAAAACTGACCAGATTATAACCCTTTGTTTGTTTTAGATCAATCAGATTTGGCAGCCATCTTAAACAGCTCTCGCTTCAGTTGATTTGTTGCAGTTCTATGTCTATTGATTTTGAGAGTTTCATTAAAATCTATCCAGTGATTCATAACACATTTTGCAAACAAAGTTAACTTCAAACAGAAAACTTTTTAACTAATATCTTAAAAGCCTTGTTTGTGCTCAAAATATGTGACCCATGTCTTCAAAACGAGTCAGAATGAGCACAAGTGCAGTGCAAAAAATGTGAAAATCTTGATTTTTCCATAAAAAGGAGTCCACAGAGACACCTTTTTGTGATTCCACTGAACAAAATAGATAAACAAGTGTCTTCAGAAATAATCCTTCTAATATCTTTTCAAATTGACCATTTTCCTCTTCTGGGAAATCCCTTCATATAACTTCAAAATTTGCAAATTTCCCATAATTTCCAAGTGCTCAATTTTGCAGTGACGTCTGTTGGGTACAAGAGTTTATGTAGCAACAAACTGGTTTCAGTTTATTTTATCAGGAGCGTGAAACAAAACAATAGACTTGTTTGTTTATATATATATTTTTACACATAAGGAAGATTAATTTAAGGTCACTGTCTTTGGCTGACTTGCCTCGAGGCGCAGCGCTAACGTGTGAATTCTTAAAATAAACGACATTCTCCTTTCGACACTGTGCAGCCAGTCCTCGCTCGACACGGAGGAACAACATTTTTACACATCGACAGGTGAGGGCCCTGAAGTCCAGGGAGCATAAATCACTGTTTTATAAAAACACTCTGGTAATAAATCGTGTTTATTGGTGTTCATTGTGCACGGCAGCGCTGATGATGTGATCACATAAAAAAATCCTCTGGGGTGCTAATTTATTGTAAGTAATAAGATAAAAAAAACAAAAAACGTGGTCTATTTTTACACACTGTAGACTGGCAACAAGGACATGACAAAGCAGAGCCAKCCCATCTTCAACCAGAGAGGGTAATATGTAGGTATCTCACAATCTGATTGTGATTCAGCAGATTATAAAATTATTATCAATGCATAATCCGCAATTAACAGGTTTGCGAATAAACACCAGGAAGCAGCTGGTAAGATTATGTTTACCCAAAATCGTGAAATAATTTAGTAAAATTTACATAAATAGACACAGATTGATTTATATGTTTTCATTTTTATAAGCTACTCATTGCAAAGTCATGAAGACTGGACAAAATAAACAAAAAAAAGGTAATGAATTATGTTTTTAAATTAAATCAGTCATGATTGTTTGCCTTCACAGACTAGAGCCAACCTAATGCAGCTCAATCACGTGACTCAAGCTCCTGTGAGGCTTTAAGCAGATTCAGCCGAGTGATTTGTTTACATTGAGTGTGGACCCGCGTTTCAAAATTGCATTCATTACATCTGGAAGAAAAATGTTGGAGTAAACCTTTTCAAATCCACACCCTTTGAAATAGTTCAGGATGACATATTTGTATGTTTTGATTTCATATTGAATGCCTTTTTAATCAGTTTGCTCCCCATCAGTTAGCATAGACGCTAACTTAAAGCTAAGAATGCCATAGACAAGTTAATGCCATTAGCATTGTAGTTGTCACTGCGAATTTGTACACAAATCAAAKAAAGTCATGTTATGACAACTTTGGCTTTTATTTACCGACATTTCTCAGAATTCACTGAAGAAAAGCTAAAGATGCATGTTTTTATTTGAATTAAAGCAGAACAAACATCACCACACAGCAACTACTGTGCTGACTCGCATTCGTTCACGTCCACGATGAGATGAGTCCAAAAATAGATTATAACCTCCACATCTGGCTTCAGCTCTGCAGGATGTTTTTATTTTAATTTCTGCAGCTTCCAAACACATATCAAATGTCTACCTGAGCTGGTTCGAAAAGGGGGCGGAGCTTTGACAGGACGAGGCCTGCGTTTATTTGCATTGATAATTTCCCACTGATTTTTCTTTTCCTCCTCTTGTAAACAGTTCCAGCAGATTTGATCAAGTTGGCATATCCGTTTGATAGCATCTGGATGTGGGCCTCCTTGGAAGTAGTAATCCGTTGTTTACACTATAGTTGAGGTTCGAAGAGTTTCATAAACTTTTTTTTTTWAAATTTTTACAACAGTTTAATCTGTTTCTGCACAATTTTTGTTTTGAAGTTCCATTTAAACATGTTTATGTTTGATTCAGTAGACTAGAAGTTGGACTTTTGACCTGCATATCATACTGATCTTAAACAACAAAATGGCTCTGAGCTACAGTTTAAGCTCAAACTTGGTGTGGTAGTAGCTGAGAGTCACACTGAGCCTGACATCTCATATTGACTATAACTTTCCTTCAGTTTCTTTATTTGATAGAAATGTTTGAAGTGATTTTCTTACCTAAAGTGAACATTATTTTAGTCTGAAACAATAAAACTCAGTATAGATTGTATTTTTTAGAGCAGTCCTTCTGTCCTGTTGTCCTGAACAATGTTTAAACGGAGGGTCAAGTCCCTCTTTTCTTTGTGTGGCTCTGCACAAACCGTCGAACAAACAAAGAGAGAAAGTTTAGGAGACGAGTCAACAAAGGGAACACGGTGAGAGCTGTCAGGCAGCGTGAAGCCCGTGTTGGTTTTACTTTTCCTCAGGGCCCATCACATCAAATTCAACGCTGCTTTAGAATTTACAGGCTCCCTTTGTTTCTGCCATCCCTCATTGTGTGGAAGTGGCTCCTGCTCTTGACGGTTGTTGGCTGTAATTAGTGATTTTTCCCACAGCTTGGTATTTTCAGGCTGTCTGAAAAGATAATGCTGTGACTCGTCATGGTTTTTTCAAACAAGGAGCTGCGGCTCAAATTTGGCTACAAGCTCTGTTTTAAATACATTTATGCCAAAAGAAGCAAACAGCTAGACATCCATGTACTTTATTTTCTGTAGATGTGTTTAAATTTTAGTTTCAGAATAAAAGCTCTCTTCGCCTTGTAAATATGTTAAGTTGAGGTCTGTGTCGCCACTTTTCACTTGTGGTAATCACTGTAACCTCATTCATTTTCCTAATGGCTCCCAAATGTTAGTTTTTTTTTTCCACCCCTCAAAGTTGACCCGGGTCAGGGCGACTTTTCCTGCAGTCGCTAAGTGAATGAGTCCCGGAGAACTGCTGCAAACATGATTAGATTTCACAGTTTTGTAAACGGCTCGGATACGATGCCAGCCGGTGTGGCAGAAGTCACTCGTTTGGGCAAAGTGTCCTCGTTGGGAGTTTACACGGCTGTAACTTTGTTCAACGAGTTCCCTTTCAGTCAATTCACTCGGTACAACATCATGTATGGGAACCACGCCCCTGCGTGTCCTGGCTGAAGCCKCCTCTAATCACGCCTTTAGGCAGGTGACGTGATGACGACAGATGTCAGGCTCCGCCTGCACATATAAATATTGTCGCATCACCGTCACTCCTTAGTTCTACTGCTCTTCACCGAGCCCAGCTGTGCAGCGGGGCCAACATGTGTTGTACCTCGTTCCTTTCCTTCAGGGAACAGTAGTTATATGCATAACATTACG